TTCTTTATCCCTTTTGATTAACTTTGGCTTTAAGTCTACTTTATTTGATATAAGGATGGTTTCGAAACCCCTGCTTGCTTCCACAGTCCATGTGAGTGGTGTGATTTTTTTTTTTTTTTCCCATCCTTTCACCTTCAGTCTGTGGATGTCTTTTCCTATGAGTCTAGTCTCTTGGAGGCAGCGTATTGTTGGGTCTTCTCTTTTAAAAAAAATCCAATCTGCCAGTCCACATCTTTTGTTTAGTGAGTTTAGGCCATTAACATTCAGGTTTGTTATTGAGACATGACTTATATTTCCAGCCATTTTTATTTATTTTTGGTATTTAACTTGACTTGGTTTCCCCTTTGATTAGTTTTTCCTGTAGTGTAATACCTCCCTTTGCTGATTTTCTTTGTTGCTTTTCAGTTTCTCTTCATGGAATATTTTGCCAAGGATGTTCTGTAGTACAGTCTTTCGAGTTGTAAATTCTTTTAACTTTTGTTTATTGTGGAAGATTTTTATTTCATCATTAAATCTAAAGCTTAAATTTGCTGGATATAAGATTCTTGATTGGCATCCATTTTCTTTCAGAGCTTGATACATGTTGTTCAAGGATCTTCTAGCTTTCAGGGTCTGGAATGAAATACTTGCCCATAATCTAATGGATTTCCCCCTATATATAATCTGATTCCTTTCTCTCGTGGCTTTTAAGAGTCCTTATTCTCTGTGTTAGGCATTTTCATTATAATGTGCCTTTTGTGGATCTGTTGTGATTTTATACATTTGGTTCCTAAAAGACTCTTGAATTTGGTTTTCTAATTCATTTTTCATGTTTGGGAAATTTTCTGATATTATTTCAGTGTATTGATTGCTCATTCCTTTGGTTTGGAACTCTATGCTTTCCTCTATCCCAAAAACTCTTAAATTTGGTCTTTTTATGCTATCCCATATGTCTTGAATGTTCTGCTCATGGTTTCTTACCATTAACACCATGTGGTCTACATTCTTTTCAAGATTATATATTTTGTCTTCATAGTCTGATATATTGTCTTCCCAGTGGTCTAATCTGTTAGTGATACTTTTAATTGAACTTTTAATTTAGTTTATTGTTTCTTTCATTTCAAGGATTTGTTGTTCTTGTTTTTAACCTCTGTCTCCCAATTGAAGTGATCTTTTTTTTTGTATGTAGCCCTTTGTCAAAATGATCTTTTGCTGCCTATATTTGCTCTCTTATATCATCCTTTAATTCACAGAACATTTAATTGTGTACATTCTGAACTCCTTCTCTGTAATTTCTTCTGCTGTGCTGGCCATGGATTCTAATAATGTGGTATCTTGTGGTGTTTCAGCACTTTCCTCCCTGTATTTTCATGTTGCTGTGTGTCTTCCCGTCTAGCACTGTGGATCCTAGACATTACTGTTTTTACCTATAGGCTTATAGTGCTCCTGTAGGGATCCAATACCTCTCCTTTGAGGTGAAGGACAATGTTATCAGATCCCAATATAAGCAATATACACTCTAAAAACAAATGTTTGCTATTAAGATGTTTACAGTTTGGTCACAATGTATAGAAATGGTGAATTCAATTATTATCTACAATTTACTGAGTAAGTTTGTAAAAGGGTCTACAGGTTCTGTTGGTAGACAAAGAACCAGGAATGAACAGTAGGGATAATATGCTGAGGAGGTAGAAGATGAGGATGTAGAGTTGTTATTTCTTAGGAAATGTGAAAGAGAAATCTAAAGAGGGAGATCAGTAGCAGGAAAAGGGAGAGGAAGTAATTTTGGGTAGACAAAAGTAAGTGGGAAGATAGTACACTACAAACCACAAAAACACATATATAGTAACACAAAATGTTAAAATAGTAGAAATTGGTGAAAAAAATAATATACAACACAGGCTTAATGTACTATTCAGATGTCTCAGTCCTCAAAATCCTAATTCATGCAAAGTACTTGGTTTCACATATGTTGGGGATGTGAGGGCAGGAGAATGGAGAGGGAGAGGGAAAAAAATTTTGAAGGAAGAAACAGGAATTGTTTTGGTTGGAAATTAGTATCATTCCTGCTTCCTTTCTTATCCAATAGAGGGGGTTGTCTGTCATTAGCTGGTGTGTCTGCCCTAAGGATGGTGAAGGTAACCTGGGTGTCACTGTGCCAGGGTAGCAGCTGCAGGGGAGAGGAATGGGTTAGAAACTGGGTACCTGGCCAGCTGGAATTCCAAACTGGGAGTTTCCCTCACTGAAGTTGGTGATGAACGTGACCCAAGATGGAGATGCTTGCTTTTGGTGGTGGGGTGTTGGGTTCGGTGCCAGGAGCCGAGTGATGGCATTGGCTAAGGAGTTCAGTAGACGAGCTCTGTGGCTTGCAGTGTGTGGCTGTCGGCTGTCTTCAGAGCCTGTGTGAGGTTCTTGGGTGCACGCAGGCTACTGTGCATAGGGGACTATCTATGCTGCTTCAATGTCCCAAGATGGTGGTGACCGGAGAAGCCCCACTTTGATAGCTGGGGGTCCACATTGGATGTCAACCAGAGTTCCAGCATGTGGAAAGCTGCCGGATGTCCTATCTGGGAGTGGCCTATATGATTTCTGCTCAAATGGATGGCTTTCGTTATGCATGGGTGCTGATGGTCCTGCTCAGGCACCTGGTAGTCCTGCATGGTTGAGTACTTGGGAGACCTACTCTGACAGGCCTGGAGCCCTGCATGGGCACGATGGCTGTTATTCCTTTGCAGGAGCAAGAATAACGCTCACAGAGAAGCAATATTCTCACTACTTGAATCCTAGGTCATAGAGAGACACAGAAGTCTGCTTCCCTCTGGCCCACCATCTTGGATCCTCTATGCTTCACATTTTAATAAATGGTCTAAAAAAAATCTTTCAGGAAGGAATCCTACACATTAAAAAAATTAGTTGTACATGGACACAATACCTTCTATTATTATTATTATTATTATCATTATTATTATTATTATTAATTTATTTTTAGGTGTTGCTGAGGATTGAACCCAGTGCCTTACATGTGCTAGGCAAGTGCTCTACCACTTAGCCACAAACACAGCCATACACATGGTTTTAACACAGTGGAAGTCAAGAACCCCTTGTATCCGTGAGCACTGGCACATGCTCCATGTGATTCCAGCTGTTAGGGAGGCTGAGACAGGATCTCAAGTTCCAGGCTGGCCTGAGAAACTTAGTGAGACTTTGTTTCAAAATAAAAAAATAAAAATGGCCGGGAATGGAGCTCAATGGTAGAGTATCCCAATACTTTAACAACAATAAAAAAAAAGTCTTGTGTTTTGCAGGGCAGGGTTTGGGGTCTGGAATTCCTACTGCTCTTCACTACACATGTGTGCCATAGAAGATTATTGTGGAAAGATCACTGAAAGTGAAACTGGATCTATGACTACTAAGCTTCATAGAGGGACGGGAGATCTAAAGAGAATAAAGAGTATTGTGTACTTAACACATAATTTAATACAAGTTGTGTAGGACTCGGGATAGAAGAGAAAGAATGAAAGAAGAAAAATGTCTGTAGCCATTTAAAAAATCTATCTTTAATGTTTTGATAGAAGTTTGAAATGTTCTATGGAAACATATTTAATTAGTATTGAAGGGCAAAGTGTAGAAGACCTTTATGTTGTGTTTTATATGGGTGAAAAGAAAGAGGATATCTCCAGGAAACGAAAGAGCAAAATCTTATTAACAGAAAGATCAGTCATCTGTATTTGGAAGGGAAAAAGAATATAGAAAAAGGATGGGCAGGGTCAGCCTTGTGAAATGAACATGGGCTTTGGGGCCTGGGGACCCTAAGTCTTTGTGATTGCTCTACGTGTAAATGATCTTGGGAAGGTAATTTAGTCACTAGAAGCCTCAGCTTTGCCTTGAGTGGAATAAGAAAAAATAACATGAAACTCGAAAACTGTGGATGAGATAATAATTTCAAAATGCATTGTTTCCAAAACAGCATGGGGACTTAATCGATGTCAGTCTGTTGTTATTAGGCAGCTGAGGGCAAAGGAGGGAATACTCTCTGTTGTCAGGGGAACAGATTAGGTTCTGTTTTTTTTTTTTTTTAAATATAGTTAGTGCAGAGTCAAGAAAGGATTTTGAGAACAGGGTTGGGGTGGACAGCTCTGCAGTTTGCAACGGGGAATATGGAGGAATCAATAATCGCAGGTAGATAGCAAACATTGGACCCCAATAATGATAAGTAGAGCAACAGTAGAGTGTCCAGAACAGTTCAGTGTTTCAGAGGTAGAATTGATAGGACCCGGCTGTTCCATTAGGTCAATATACGTGAAAAAGTTAGGAGTAAGAGAATAAAAACAGACACCAGGGTTTCTCTCCTGAGCAACTTGAGTCTTTCATAATACCTACAGTTCAGATAGGCAGTGTGGTAGGGGGAGTAGGTATACAAAAGGAGTTCAGGTGTGGAATTTAGAATGTTTTCTATCATTTTCCTGATGGCCTTTAAAGATCTGAATTTGAATGTGGCAACTCTGTTTCTGACTCCAAATCCCTTATTTCTATGTTACCATTATATTTTGGATAGTGTGTTGATTTATTGCAAAAGCTGTCATTGTGACCCTTTGAAGTACTGCTTCTAAAGTTTATCTAATAAGCTGGGCAAAGTGGAGCACACCTGCAATCTAGGCTGAGGCAGGAGGATTGCAAGTTTAAGGCCAGCCTCAGCAACTTAGCAAGACTCTTTCTCAAAAAATAAAAAGTACTGGGGATGTGGCTCATTGATAACATATTCCTGATTATCTACTACCCCCTTACCCCCCAAAATAAATTTTATTTATCTAATAAATCAGGGTAGTTAGTGTGATGTGCTCCAAAGCAAAATACCACAACTCTTAAGATCAACTGAAATGGAAGCCAAATGTGGCTAAGTGGCTTGCATTATGTATTCCTTAGAGCTTTCATTTCTTAATGCTCCATTGAAAGTCAATGCAAATTTAGACCTTCTACTCAACACCAATCTTGGTGCATGTGTTTCTTGTTTTAATGTGCAGGACAGGAGAGAATTGGAAAAGATTCCAACTATGAGCAGGAGGGTAAAGTTCAGTTCGTGATCGATGCTGTATACGCTATGGCGCATGCTCTTCACCACATGAACAAGGATCTCTGTGCTGATTACCGGGGTGTGTGCCCAGAAATGGAGCAAGCTGGGGGCAAGAAGTTGTTGAAGTATATCCGCAATGTTAACTTCAATGGTGAGTCCCTACCATCTGAACTTTCTGGAATCCAAAATGGTTGGCATTCATGTTTCCCAAATCAAATAGTTACATTATTATTTGACCTTGAGCTTGTGTCAAAACGTGGTAGATACTATGTAATTTTGAATGATTGAGTCAGTGAATGAATTAATTCATATTTGGGGGTTGTAGTTCATTCTCATGTTGACATAGAGAAATTCTTGTACAAAGCCAAATTCTTCCTTTATAAATGTGAGTAAGGGAGGAGAGGAAAGGAAGGGAAAGGGACAGTATGGCTGCTTAAACTCGAAGTGTTATATGCACAGTCCAGTCATGGAAGAGGAGAGAGTGGAGGGTACCCCACCCTTCACATGACCACAATTGCTATAGGTACCCAAGGTAATAGAAGTAGTAATTGTAATTTGCCACACTAACCACATTTCACAGTACAAACTTATTTCTCAAACTATAGAATGCAACTATAAATTAATAGGTTAACTAAAAGACGTGAGGAGAGAGAAACAGAAAAATCGGTAAACAATTTAAAAGACTTTGGTGGAGAGGGGAGAAATACCATTTCTTTCACAGTACCTTTAAGTATTATCTTGACTCTTAGAACATTTTAATATTTCATGTCCCCTAACTAAACAAATAAGTCAAATAAACCTCAATGTAGAACATAAGATTCAACATATTTGTTACCAAATGTTCTTAACTATATCACAAATTAATAATATAATGACACTAAAGGGGAAAAAAGAAGAAAAAAAATAAATGCAAGAAATTTTTAGATATAGTATTTAGTTGTATAAGGTATGGCTACAGAAAAATAACATGGATATTATACAGTTGCTAGTAAATATGTTGGATTTTTCTCATTGTGGATAATGAGAACCAGGTTTCTCTTTGGTGGAGATAGAAATTACTGATAAATGAAGGGTAGAATGAACTGTGTTGTGTCAGATTATATTTAAAGATATCTGCATTTCTTCATATACATACACATAAGTAGTTACAGGAACAGATATGCATTGAATGTATCTATTTACTTGTACCACCTAGGTATGTCCACTGAGTGGCCTAGGGACAGTGGCACCTCAGGAAAAAATAACATCTGGCACTCAGATCTTGTTTACAAATACCATTCTCCAGGAAAAAGAACCAGAGTTCCTTAGAGAAATGGAATCCACGACCAGTGCAGAGAAAATACAGTGTGTACTTCAGATATTCTGTGCCAGAAAGAAAGAATGCTACTGGCATTCTAGGAAGAGAGCTGCCTTTCTAGAAAGAGAGCACTCAGAAAGTAATGAGGTTGTGTGACAAGGGCACAGATCAACTTGGAAGAGGTCTCATTTGCCAATTCTGGGACCAAGTGGGTTATAATTCATAAAGGAAAGTAAATATCCATAAGTCCATACTTGTATAAATAATAATTGGATTGAATAAACAAATGTGAGAGAATGGGTGGCATGATAGAATGACATAAAGATGGAAATGAAAAATCACCATTTGCAAAGGCCTCAGTAATCATTGTTTCTGGCAAGAATCATTGATGAGTGCTAAAGTTATTGGGTTAAAGTATAAAGAGAAATAAGGTATTTTCTTAGTCTCAAAAGTATCTTCAATTGGGATACATATTAATTTCTAAGGTGAAAACAGTAGCTTTGAAGTGGAGGAAACTTCAAGACAGCTCCTTGAACAAATGATCAAGGTAAACGAAACCAGTAATAACTTATCATTGTCATTTGTGTCTTGATACTATGCACAGGCACTGTTAGAGCATCATGTCTGAGGCCTTATTGCAAAAAATAAATATCATGCATAAATCATAATATAATATAAATGTACAATAATATATAGGAAACATTAGGCGAATCCAATTCAAAGTTGTTTAAGAAAATCATTGACCAGTACTCTTCAAAAGTATCCAGGTTAAGTGAGGTGCAGTGGCATATGTCTATACTTGCAGCTACTTGGGAGGTTGAGGCAGGAGGATTGCTGGAGTCCTAGAATTGGAGGTCAGCTTGGGTGGCACAGCAAGACCCTGTCTTGAAATGAAAAAGTGCTCCAGGCATGAGAAAAACAGATGGTAGAACTGTTTCAGAAGGAATGAGACTGAGAAACGATTGCTGTCAAATGCAATGTTGGAATGTTATCTTACATCAGAAGAAGGACATTCATGGGATATTGAAGGAATCATAATAAATTTTGTTTTATAGTTTTAATATACCAGCATCAATTTCCTTGTTTAGTTAGCCATGTAACAGTTAACACAAGACAACAATAACTCTTTTTGCTTCTCTTGTTGGAATTTAAAGTACATTTAGACTCACAATATTGTGTCCATTTTTCAGGAGTTACCTAGTATCTGGATGAAGTGATCCAATTTGGGGAGCAGTATTTTTCTAGTTAAGATGAAGACAAAAATGACTATATATAAATCCAGAATATACTTCAACTATAAGTCATCTTTTTTTCATAGTTTTTTCCTGATCTTACAGAATCTCTTACTATATAAAACCAATTTTCACAGAACAAAACAAATGTGAATTTCATTACTTACAAAGCAGTAAATAACATAAGCTGAGGTTGGTTTCTGGCTTTGTATTCTGGTCCATGTAAATTAATTCCATTAAATGTGTGACCATTCTTACACTAGTGATAAAAAAGTGCAAGTTTTCTTAATTATTGTGCCCTGTTTTTTCTCCCTGACAATAATTATAGACTATGGACTCATTTTTGTCAAGACCATCTTGTCTGCTGATGAACTAGTGTTGCTGAATTTTAGCATAGATACAGGGGATGGGAGATAGATATCTATCTATTATCTATCACAGTGATTACTCTATGCCAGAAACTCTAAGTACTTTGAATATTTTGGCTCATTTACTCTTCAAGACTACATGATTTTTAGATTCTGTTTTTTTCTCTTCTTCATAGATAAGGTAGCTGATTCACAGAGATGTTAAGAGAATCATGATGGACAGTTGTACACCTGTGTGGATTCCTAGAGCATAGGGCACCTGCATCCACAGTTTGCCCCCTTGACTATTATTCTCAGAGTTGTTGAGAGGAGAGGCTTATTACATTAGTCCTGCTGGTCCATCGTAGATCTCAGTTCTGGGGATTTCACTGCAAAGGTCAATTTCCCCCTGTGTCACACCAGTGTAAGCTCTGTAGCCCACACAGTATCTTTCTGAGGAATATCTTTTTTTAAAAATCTGGACAGTAGGGAAACTTTTTATAGATTCTGGGACATTGCAACATTGATTGATGGCAGGGCTCAAAAGTTTTTGTAAAGAATAAGAAGCTGTGCACAATTTAATCAGTGAAGTGCCCATGTTGCGTTGAGAGAGAAAAGAAACTTGATATGTTTTAGTTGGTCAATTTCTTGATTTATAGGTAAAGAAATAAAATCCTAAGATGTGAGAGAACATTTTTTCTGAGACTTCAGTGAGCAAATGATAGAGACCTATAGCGCAAGTCTCTTTTCAGGCCATTATAGAGAATTTAGTCTTCCTTTCCTATGTTTAGGATTTTGATTGTTCTTTGTCTCAATATGCTTCATTGTGCTCCTCTTAATTTAGTAAGAAATTCCATTTATCCCTAGGAATTTTGTTTCAGACCAATAGAGTACAATTTAATAACTCTGACCTTCAATTTAGAAAATGATAGTAGAGTATCCATGACTTATTACTACCATTTCACCAAGTACTTCACCTACTCTTATGAATGGAGGGGAAAAGGATGACTCTTCTTCATTCCAGACCACCTTTCCCTGCTTCCCAAATGAATGCAAAATCTCAAGCCAAAATTCACTATAGTTATTGGTATGTTGACCCATATGACCAGATAATACTACTTGGAAATGCAACTTTAAGAGATTTGGTGTCTGGATATAAAATCTTGATATAATAATGTGTTTAAAGTATGTCTTGGATTGGGGATATAGCTCAATTGGTGGAGGACTTCCCCTACATGCACCAAGCCCTGGTTTCGATCCCTAGCACCGAGAGAGAGAGAGAGAGAGAGAGAGAGAGAGAGAAAATGAACTGAATGAATGAATGCATGTCTGGACCTATGTTTTCTCATTTCAGGAGAAATTGAGGTAGGAGATATTTTGTAAAGATGTCACATCTCACGTGCATTCTTGGAGCATGATGTTAGCTTTCCCTCATTGAGAGATAAGGTTTGTGTTCCATCCCTTTGAATCTGGGTGAGGCTGTGACTAATTTGGAAGTGACATCACGTGACTTCTCATTGCACAAAAAGTAATAGAGCTCTGCATGGTTCTCTACAAATAATACAAACACAATTATTATGCTGATAAAAAGACAAAATGTCACCCTCATAGGTGCTCTAGTCACAGTCACAGCCACAGCTGAGATCCCACCTTACAGCCCATGTCAGTTATCCTGCATGTGAGCTTCTAATTGCTTCAAACTGATGTACATGGTCTAGAGATGTACTGCCTCCATTGGGTCCTGACCTAATTACCAAATCCATGATTTCATTGCCTTGAGTGCTAAGATTTAGGGTTATTTGCTGAGCTGAAAGAGATAACAGGAACTCATATCAGTGCAGCATTTCTGGACTCTTTGCATGGGGTGGTAAAATGAGAACAGAAAACCTGCCAGGCAGTTTACTTGACGGAGGGGATATTTTCATCATCAGGGCAGTCTGAATCCCCAGTCCTTCTCTATTCAGGAAGAAAGCAATTTTATTCACATCTTCTCACCTAGTGTGGTTTTCAGTCATTTGTACACTCTCTTCTCTGTCACCCATCTTATCAGGTATCCCTATTTCTTTTGCCCAAGCATATCTGTATTCTAGACATAACACCTTGTAGAAATCTCTGCAGTGATCGCCCCTCCCCATCTCTTTTTTTCTCTCAGGACTTCTTTGATTTTCTTTTTAAATATAAAGTTCATTGAATACAAAGTCTGTTTTTTCTCTTTCAAGAAGTTCAGGGGTTCCGTTAAAAAAGAGTTGGGGGGGGGGTGGGAAACTAGAGATAATAACCCAGTCGCAGTATATAGAACCCATCCAGAAGGTCAAGGCTGCACCACATGCTATTACAAGTCATCACTTAGATAAAGTATCCAGCTATTCAATCTGGATTTTTTTAAACACAGCTAGCTCTGGAAAAGGCAAGACAAGAATCATTTCTTCTAACAAAGATTGTGAGGAGGAGGAAGATTTAGGTGACCTGTCCCATTCCAGTGAATATTTAGGCCATGTTCTTGAGTCTCTCTGGAGTCCTAGGCTCCTATATTCTTTCTCCTCTCCAAGTCAATGAAAAACTCCACTTGTATTATTGAATGAATCGAAATTGTAGAATTTATAGCAAAGCAGAACACAAATCCTAGTATCCAGTGTGGGGGAAAAAAAAGGTGAATATCTGCATGTTATTAGTGCGAAACAACAGGATTCTTGTTTCTTGCTACTAATGTGAAATCCAGATTTCATTGTTTTCTGCTTAAAGACTTAGAAGACTTGCTGAAAGCAGGAAGCCAATATTTAAACCTTTTTTTTTGTTGTTGTTGTTGTTGATGTGGCTTTTGTTTGGGAAGATTTGTGTTGATTCATACATGGAGTTTACAAGATCTGTTAAGATAAAGTGGGTGCTTTTGTAGTCTGCAGGAATGATGTCTCAGTAACACAGAGAAGTAAGAAATTAAAACAGTGCCTTTGGCTGTTTAACCAGATTTAACCAGTGACACTAACTGGTGAGACCAAATCAGTGTTGTTCATAGAAGATTAGTTCCCACTTCCAAACTGGGCTCTAGCCTGTTATATGGGAAAAAAACTTTTTTCTAGCAGAAGAGACATTTAAATTAGATACCAGTTAACAGAGGCAGCATTGGTGCCCTGGAAAAGACCAGAGTGTGACTAACTGAAGGCATGTGTTCTGTCTGGTTTCAAAATATCAGCAAATGAAGCAACAAGAAGAAGAAAAATCATTATCTATTAAGCTTTTACTGTGTAAAAGGAACAGAACCAAGTACATCCTCACTCTATGAGAAATGTAATATGAGTGCTAGAAAGTGAGACCTTAACAGAGGCCAAACTTCAGTTAAGTAGTAAACTTGGAATTTAAACCCATTCAAGAGGATTCCAAAACCAGTTAACAAGCACTGTTCTAATGTAAGTAGCTGGGTGACTAGAACAAGTGACTTACCTTTTTTTAAGAAATGCCTATGCTTCCTCACCTATAAAATTAGGAAGTTGGATGCTCTGTCTCCTCCAGCTACATCTTCATTGGCCACTCCTACCATAAGAAGATCACTGCAAACTTGATGGCTTAAACAATGACCATGCTTTATCTTACAGTTCTGCTGCTGGCAAGTCCAACATAGGCTTCTCTTAATTTGAATTTAAGGTGAAGACATGGCTGGTCCCTTCAGGAGACTTGGGGAAAGTCTGTCCTCTAGCCTTTTGTAGCTCCTGGAGGCCACTAGGCTTGTGACCCAGGCCTCATCACTCCAACTTCCTGATGATGTTTCCATCATCACATCTTCCACCTTTTACTCCTCCTGCCTTCCTCTTATGTGGACTTTTGTGATTGCACTGGGCCTTCCCATATTATCCAGAACAATCTTCCATATCATGGTCCTTAATTAATATTTTCAGCAAAGACCCTTTTGCTACAGAAAGTGACATTTCAGGTTCTGCAAACTAGGGCTTGGACCTACTTGGATCATTATTCAGCCTACTACAAGCTGATTTTTTAAAACTTTTCTTTAATATCCAGTGGTATCATAAAATTGTAGGATGGTGTGCATTTGCTTGGCTGTTCCTCTATCCTACCTGTGATGTTGAGCCCATGTTGCCTGGAGGTCACTGTCATCAAGAGTTTCCAGCTTGGTATGGTAGGCCTCTTAGGACCCCATATATTGCCCTCTTTCTGGCTCTCATTTAACTTTATGTTGAATGATCATTTGTATGGGGCCACTTCTGACTTCATGCTTGTTTCTTCAAGTATTTTCTTTTGTTTCTATAACTATTTTCTATAACTATTTTAAACATTCCTCCTCCTGTCTGGTTAACATTGTGTGATAACTCTCTCATAGGAATGCAGCCTCATATCATCTTGCTCTCCAGTCTTGTCATCCTTGACTTACATAGTTTGAAGCAGTCTTTCTCCGATTCCTGTTTTCATGTTCTAGAGAGAAAAGGCCTTGTTATGGTTTAGCTATGAAGTGGCCCCCAAGAGCCTAATGAAATAAAGTTTAGAGGTGAAATGATTGGATTATAAGAATGTTACACCAAACAGTGCTTTAATTCACTGATAGGGAGTAGCTGGGTGGTAACTGTAGGATAGTAGGTTGTGGTGGAAGAGGTGGGTCACTGGGGGCATGCTTTGGGGGCTTATATTTTGCCCACATTGAATGGAGTGCTCTCTCTACTTCATGGTGGAACCATATCCTATGTGGAACCATATCTCCACTCTTGTACCACGATGTTCTGCCTCACCTTGGACCTGAAGCAATGGGTTCAGGCACTTAAGGACTGAGACCTCTGAAACCTTGGGCACCAAATAAACTTTTCCTCCTCTCAAATAGTCCTTTTAGGTCTTTTGGGTACAGTGACAAAGAGATGAATACACAGGCCTTCTACCCTGGACTGCTAGAACATCTTTCTCTGGTTGATGCCTGGTGAGCTCGCTAACGTAATCCACAAGTCACCAGGCTTGTGCACTCTGTATATTAACCATCCCACTTCGTCATAGGAAACCCACCTAGGTAACACCCAGCATAGGCTTTGACCCTCAGGCCCCTCCCATTCTCTCTTCCTCTCCACCCACTGGCTGAGTACTTACTCCAGGCTGTTCCCCACCCACTCATCCCATTAGCCCTGTTGTGAAGCTGGCTACCTGTTTGGGATCTGGAGTAATAAACTTAACCTTTCCATCACTCCTATCTGAGTTCTGCACCGTGTTACACCTAACAACTGACTCTTCCTCAGTTTCCTCCCTTAGCAAATCACCACATGATTTACGTTTTCATCCATATCATTAATGCAAATATTTATGTTTCCCTGAGTTCTGCAGAAGCTAAAAATTTGGTTAACTACATGGAGAACTCTGTCAGTGTTAATATCTTATGTTCAGTAATGAGAAAATTATCAAAAGTGCTTCATGGTTCTTGTTTAACACTTGTCTATACCTGTTCCACTCCATTGAGAAGTAGAGTGAACCTCTCAGTGATCTTGTTCTGGCTGGTAAATGACCTATGAATTTACTTATAAATGACAGAAAGTAGAGCATTGTTTTCTGGTAAGAATATTGACCCAGTATATAAATCTATAGTCACATATCAGATATATACCATAAAGTCAGTTATATTTCTCCTGGTTTAAGGAAACATGTAAAAAATACAAGTTACTGAACATTGTTTTTATTCTTTTATGAGTTTTGCTAAAAGTAACCAAAGCTTATGTCTTGCCTTCTTTGTATATGGTTTACTGATTATTCCAGGTAGTTGACATTAAGGGCTTTTGATTCATTCAACCATATACACTTGAAAATTATGTGTGTATATACACTCAATATATTAACACATTTATCTTTTTTAAAGTGACTTCAATGTCAGATTGATTGCATCTGAAGGACATTCTAAGAGGATCCAAATGGGGATTGACAAAGAAACTAATGTTTATGGACCCTCTTCTAGACCCACTGCTAATAAGCATTTTAAACTGGCTATCAAATAAATTATTTTAAATTCAGTCAGTAGACAAGTACATATTTAAATAAACATTTATACTTATTTCCTTGCTTGTTTTTAATTACACTTTTTAAAATTTATTGGTTTGGAAACTGTTCTTTGACTACAATTTATTAAGGAAACTAAAATAATAACAACCATTACGGTGATCAGAATTGTATTCAACAACAGTAGCATTATGCCAAGACTTACGTTATCTCTGAAAAATAATAGTTTTTCTTCCTCTGACGTGGGAAGAGTTTGGAATAAAATTTTCAGAAACACTGAGAACTGGAATTCTTCAAAAGAAGAGGTGGATTGTCTTCCTATCTTTTATAATTAGCATTTGCAGGCCTAGACATAACCTGCCTTTGAACAGCACAGATCACTTGGGGAAAACCTCCTAAGCATTGGTGTTATTTCCCAACTTTCTTTTCCACAGGTCTGCAGACTCATCCGTAGTTCAAGAGACACAGGAATCTGGTTTAACTCTAAAATCTGTCTTTTTCCTTGCCTTCTTCAGGTAGCGCTGGCACCCCTGTCATGTTTAACAAGAATGGGGATGCCCCTGGGCGTTATGACATTTTTCAGTACCAGACAACGAACACCACCAATCCCGGTTATCGTCTTATTGGGCAATGGACAGATGAACTGCAGCTCAATGTGAGTTCTATTTGCTCTTCCTCTTCCCTTGACAGATGAATGAGTAGAACTGTTTTTGTTTTGTTTTTGAACTCGGGGGCACTCGACCACTGAGACCCATCCCCAGCCTTATTTTGTATTTTATTTAGAGACAAAGTCTCACTGAATTTCTTAGTACTATGCTAAACTGCTAAGGCCAGCTTTGAACTTGTGATACTCCAGCCTCTGCCTCCTGAGCTGCTGGGATTAAAGGCAGGTGCCACAGTGTTGCGTGAATTTTAATTTGCACAGTAAAACAAATTATTCTCAGTTTTTGGTGCTGGGATTAAACCCAGGATCTCACAGGTGCTAAGTAAGCACTTAACACTGAGTTACACTTGTGCATACACAAGTGAAGTTGCAATTTGTTACTGGCACCAGCAAGGATTGACTAATAGTACCAGTAAGGGTGATGATCATGGTCATGCATTATAAAACGTGTATTGAATTTTTTGCACTATAGTTATAACCTCTGTGAATTCTCTCATTTAACCCAAAGCTTATATTGCTTAACAAGTTATCTGCTATCACCTTTGTGGGATCCTTCTCTTACACTTTCCTTTGTCCTTTCTTCCTTCTTCCTTATTTGGAGTTGACATGATTTTTTAAAAATTTCTTTGGATGATTTTTAATGAGTCATTTTGGTTTAAACTGAGATTATCTGATTAATTGCAGTATTAGCAATTTCCATAACTTCTACCTTTTTCTTTAAAATGTGATCTCAAGTAAACAGCCACTGTTTTGCATAGGATCAAGTGCATGCTGATGTTCCAGCTCAGGGAGTTTGAGGGAGGGGGTAGCATTGTCTCTTATTCAGCTTCTTTTGTTCAATTTAGTCCTTGGATAGGTTGGATGAGACACACACATTTGGGAGGGCTGTCTGCTTGACTCAGTCTACTGATTAAAATGCTCATCTTATCCAGAAACACCTACTCAGGTACACCTAGAATAACATGTGACCAAATGTCTTATCACCCTTTGGCCCAGTCCAGTAGACAAATAATATTAACCATCATAGTCCTTTCCCAGAAAATTCTTTCTGTCTCTTCTGAAGCTGAAAATGATGTCACTAGTCTTTATCATTCTGTACCTTTGGAGGCACTTGGGGAATCATTGAAAGTGGAAAACAGAATCAGGATCTGGGGCTGGGATGGGGATTTGTTCCATGGTTTCTAAAAAGGGAACAGTGTAAAGTGATCACAAGCCAATTAACCTTATTTGCCCATTCCTGGGGCCTGACTTTGCTTATACCTGTCCACCTCTCCATCTCCCTTTCCTGAGTTTCACCAGCCAAATGAACTGACACCAAGCCTGAACCTAAAGGATTACAATATGGCATCCAAGAATGAATGGAACCGGATAGCAAGTGCCAGCCCTAGCTGAGATGAATGCTCAGGGACATAGCTGGAAAGCAGCTAAAATTGTCCTGAATGCAATGTGTCCTAATCTAGTATGCAAAAAGGAATTAAAAAATAAAGCAAAACAAAATTAAAAAAGAAAATCCAGGGTATAGTGATAAAAAGCAGAATCAAAGTGTGGTCTAATCTGATGGACTTACCTAAAGGGATATTTACCTGGTATTACTTGTGTGATAGAAAGATGGTTCAACCAAGACTAAAAGTATAGTCAAGGTCTGTGGTATATGTGAAATGCACAGAGATTATTATAAAACCCAGGACATTAAACAGGTGATTAATATTTTCTAGCACAAGCTTCATCACCTGTGTTTAATTTTTGGAATGCGTGATTTGTCCATGTACATAAGATTTTGCCAGTGGCATTTACCAGCTTCACATATGATTTGGAATTTCTTAAGCACACTAATGTTAAGAACCAGTATCAATACTAACTTTATTTTTGTTTACTGCGTATATATCATATCCCTTGTGAGAATCACATTCGATACGCCATTCAACAAATTTGGTGATGGTTCTGTTTTTACAATACCTGTCTTTGGATACACTCTGTGAGAGGCAGTGGGTAAATACATATTGCCAAAGGAAACAGGATACTTGTTCTCATGCCAATTGATCATGTAGGAGGGAACTACCAGGTGTCCAAGTAAAGAGATGGGTATGTGGTCATTCCAGAGTGTTACAAGAGAGATGGTTAGCGAATAATAGAAGTGGAGATGTAGGGTCCACAGGATGGGCATCTAGCTGATAAGAAGGCTGACATAGCCCTAGTGTCATCAGTGATGGGGAGGGACTGGGAAGACACAAGAGCTATAGGTAAAAGTCTTATCTCTGAGGTTCCTAGTACACCATGGTGAAAACTCTAACTTTAATTATGAGTGCATTTAAAAGCCACTAAGAGATAATAAGGAAGTGACTTCTTCAAATTAAGGGATAAAAATTACTTTGCTGGGAAGAAAATGAATTGGAAGGGAAAAGAAGGGTAATAGAATGACTAATGGGCTATTGCAGGGGCTGGGGTTTAGCTCAGTATAGAGCACTTGTCTAGCATGTGTGAGGTACTGGGTTCAATCTTCAGCACCACAAAAATAAATTTTAAAAAAATTAAGGAATAAAAAGTAACTTAGCAAAAAAGTATTGCAAATGTTTGGTGACAGTAGGGTGGCTTAATGAAGTGATTTTCAACTTCAGTATGTATCAGAACAATCTGGAAGCTTGTGAAAACATGAACTATGGGGCCTCATCCCCAGGGTTTGATTCAAAAGGCCTGGGGCTAAGGGAGACCTGAATGTTTGTCTTTCTAAGAAGTCTGGGTAATGTAGGTGGTACTTTAAGAAACACTGGCTTAGACATATTTAACGATTGTGGAGATTAAGCCAAATGAGAGGTATATATGTATTACTTAAGGGGCTTTGTGGATGCTGGCACACCTTCAGATGAGAAAGAATAGGAGGCAGTAGGAGGAATAAAAATCAGGATTGCCAGTTCTTAACTTGGATTTTTTTTTTAAATATGTGGGACTTCTTAAATATCAAAAGCGAAATGAAATGGATATAAGCCTGAAATGCAAACAAGAGTTTTGAGCTATAATTATCTTTTTTAAAAACTAAGTTATAAACCTATAAATGGGCTTTAAGAAGACAGAAAGGAGAATAGCGGAGAACTCCTGGCCTTCAAAACTTCTTAGAAAACAATATAATTTTATTCCAGCTACTCCAAACAGTACCCAGTTTAAAATATTCAATTAGCCTGGAAAGTTGGGTCAACTACATACTTTGAATTTTCTTTTGGTTTTATGAAAGCTAGATCTGAAGTGTATCTTTGGCTTGGCATCAAGTGAGGACACATTTGATGCTACTTTGTCATGCTGAGGGAAGTGTGTTATAAAGAGCTAATGGTCTCCCTGAGTCCTCAGGTGGATTCAGTTGTTTATGTTTAGGATTGCGTGCAATCTAGAGGGATGAATCAGGCATGAACAGTTGTTTTTAAAGGGGTGAGAATCTGGGTTAGTTCAACTAGAGTGACCACTTAGATAGCAGGTTGTAATAGGAGGTGATACTGTGGACCGCTTTTATTATTAATTTGGAATTAAGTCATTTTAGGAAAATAAGAAGAAAAGTACAGTCTCTAGAGTTTACCTCATCCCTCTTACCTGGAACCCATGGCCACGGTTCAGACATCCTATCCAGTGATTGGCATCCTGTCATACATCACTACTCATGCTCTTCTTTCTTGTTGTATTTGTTGGGATTCAGTTTAACACATCTCCAAGAGTGGAATTACAGCAAGCATTGTTTTATAAGTTTGCTTTCCTCTCAGTAAGAGAAGAATACAAAGCATTTCAAGTAGCTAATGGTCTTTTCCTTTGCAAATACCCAGGGGTACCCTTGCAATCCCAAGTTATATCTTCTCTAGCAAATGAAAATTTCAGGAGAATTTTCTCTTAAGTCAGTAATTGCAGGTGAGTTTCTGAGCCAAGAATGTTTCAGGTTGTCTGAATCCCAATGCTGCAGAGCAGACTCATGTGCCTTTTCTACATGCGATCAGCTATAATTGAGGTACCTAGTAGTGCATATTCTGTTAATGGAGCATTCCATGTACCGTTACTGCCAGTGTGGTAGCTCTGAGCCCTGACTCTTCTGTGTTCTAAGAGATGACTGCATGGCTCATACCAGAATATTTCTGCACTAATGAGAAATTTGCAAAAGGGAATTATAGAACCAGAAAAGTCACTTACTCTCTCAGTTGCAATTCATAAGTAAATAACCTTAATTTTTCAGGTTTCTATTCTACTAGTAAGAGATTTCACAAAAACATACTTCCTGAGAGAACGCAGAAGACACAAAAGCAACAAATATGTATTGTATTGCTTCTCAGCAGTGTGTCTATAGACTAAAAAGAGCAAGCCCCTATGTTCTGAGTCCACAGACTTCAATAATGGATGTATAGTAGATAGATTACATGGTAGGACTACACATAGACATTGAGTTATGGGGAAAAATCCAGGATTTTTGAAGGATAAGTACTAGTTCTAAAAACATTGCCACATGCAGTGGTACACATCTGTAATCCCAAAGGCTGTGGCAGGAGGATTGTGGGTTCAAAGTCAGTGTCTTAGCAAGGCCCTAAGCAACTTAGAGAGACTCTGTCTCTAAATAAAAATATAAAAAAGGCCTGGGGATGTGGCTCAGTGGTTAAGCACTCCTGTGCTCAATCTTCAGCACACACACAAAAAAATAAACAAAAAAAGGAAATAAGAAAAAAATGCTTTAGAATGCACAATGCAGTACTGTTTAAAAATTGCAGTAGGGAATATATTAGAAAGTAGGAAAGGCGCCAGGTGTGGTGACTCACACTTGTAATCCCAGAGGCTTGGGAGACTGAGGCAGGAGGATTGCAAGTTCAAAGCCAGCCTTAGAAAGCATATGGAAATGGTAGGAGACCCTCAATGTTACACAAAATTACATATAAGAGGTTGTGAGGGGAAAGGCGGCGGGTGGGGAAACAAGGGAGAGAATTGAACAACAACAGATGAGGTAGAGAGGGAAGATGGGAGGGGAGGGGAGG